TGTTTGGCCGACGAGGCGGAGGAGGAGGCAGTGACAGCTCAAGCACAGAAGGCGTATTTTGTGTGAACAGAAACGGCGTATCCGAAGCGGAGAAAGAGAAGAGACTGAAAATGTATGAGTGTGTAAGCGAGGTGTGGCAGACGAGCAAGGGCAGAAATCGAGGCTGAAGACGGAGACGAATGATGAGGCCAGACCGACACACATACACTCGGACAAACGGAGAGAAGGAGACATAGGGGGTGGAGCAAGAGTGAAGTGAATGTATGTATGTGTGTGTGTGTGTGAGTTTGACCGGAGGCCAGGAAAACGGGTATCTTGTTCGTGCTTGTTTACCTCAAACTCATTTATTATGATGATATTAATCGACCCTTTTAGACAGACCACTCAGCCGATATCTGTTGGACAGATGTGTGCAGCAAGACGCCAACGGACAAACACACCGAAATACACACAGACATGGGAACAAGGAGGGAGCGTCTCGGGCTCGACGGACATCAGATCAGGCGACAGGCGGGATGATGTTTGTCTTTTGAAATGGAGAAATTATGGCACTCGTCGGCAATTTTCAGACGACTCCTCGATAGAGATGGAGAGGGAGAGAGAGAGGGAGAAGGAAAGAGAGTGAGAGAGTGAGATGCAAGGGAACTGGTTGAAGCCGGACTCGGAGAGGCAGGGGCCACCGAATGTTCTCGGCGGGAGCAGTCGAAGGGCAAACTGTCTCCGAAGATGCCCACCCCAAAGGCCGGAACAGGATATGACGGGGTGGGGGTGGGGGGTGTCGCCACATGTCCGTGAGTCTGTTGCTGCGAGTCATCTGCCTTGTCGAGATCGGTCGAAACAGTCGCCTCGGACGGCTCAAGCGTTCGTGTCAAGTGTCCGTTTGGGCTGCAGCCGAACCATTTTTGTTCGTCTCCTGGCCGGGACTCGAGGCCGGGGGCGATCGTGTTATTGGAACCCGGTCAGAGAGGACGCTGTCACCACTTAAACAGCGCCCCGACGACCACATGAACGGTTGCAGGCCGGGTTGGGCAAATTCCGACGGCTAAACGAGTGCAATTAGCTCGAGTAAGGCCTTTATCAACAAAATACATCATAACTCAATTCAACTTAACTCAACAAAACACAACACAATACAATACAATACAGCACAACGAAACTCAAGTCAACCCTACTTAACTCAAATCAAATCAACACAACACAATACAACACAACACAACACAACACAACATGACTCAACATAACTCAACTCAACTTAATTCAACTCAACCAAAA